CCCCCTCCAGCCCCCTACACCCCCTCCCTATCTCTGTTACCTCCTCCAGCCCACTATCTCTGCCACGACCCTCCGCGACCTCTGCTCTCTCGGAATCTGACCTCTCGTGTTTCCCTACCGATTCCTGTCGCACCGCCATGGGGGTTGGGGGGAGGTGGGGGAGTAGAAGAGTTTGGGGGGGGTGGAGGTGTGTAATCAGCTACGTGACTCCCTCCCAGAACATCTCTCCCATAACGTCTCTCGCACGACGCACGTTGCTCGGAGCTGATCTATCAATCCGGTCACGAACTGGAACGACCTGGTAGCAAGCGAGCACCTGCGTTTCGTTTTTTTTGCCCCTTCACCCCACCCCCGACACCACCCCCAACCCCACAATGCGTTCGGAACTAACACCAGCGTGTGACCTCTTTCCCCCCTCCCCGACCACCCCAAACGACAGGTCGCTCGTTGCAAGCAGGTCTTGTGCGACCCAGGCTACGCGGCAGAGCGGGTACGGAAAGTGGGCCAAGTCATCCGCGCCATCTATATCACCAGTCACCCCATTGCGGGCACGGGCGATGCCAATTCGTGCCAGATCATCTTCCCGCAGAACCAGCTGAACAGGAACTCGGGTGAGGGTCCTCCCCACCTCGGAACGCCGGGAAGGCCAAGCATGGGACGGGGCGGGGTGGGGGGGGGTGGCTAGCACGGCTCGGCACGTTCGGGGGGAATGGGCGATAAGGAGGGAGAGACCGTTCGGCGACGGTGGGGAGGCACCGAGAGTCGGAAATGGACGTGGGACCCTCCCTGATCATTGAGGGGGGTGCGGGTGGTAAAGAAAGACGGCGAGGGGGTCCTTGGGAGTAGATGGGTATCACCCACATCCGTCAGGGTGAGGGGACACGGATCGAGGGTGAGGGGAGCAGAGGGAGTGAGGGAAATGGAGACGCGCCGCTCGCTTTGCGGGGGAGCCAGTACGAGCGCGAGGGGCCTGAGCTGGCTGGTGGACTCCGCTTATTGGCTGGGATTCCGCTTCCGATTCCGAACACCGGGAATGGGGATCAGCCTGGGGTTTGCCGGAGTGCGGTACCTTTTGGCGGAGAACAGTTCGAGCTGACGGCGGATTCCGACCCAACTTTAGGAATGATGGCGGAGAATGGTCGGCGCCGAGGGGGAGCGGGCGCCATCGGAGGGTGAGGGAGAGGGCGCTGTCGGAGGGTGAGGGTGAGGGAGCGGGCGCTGTCGGAGGGTGAGGGAGAGGGCGCTGTCGGAGGGTGAGGGTGAGGGAG